GGATCCTTGTTAGTAATTGAATGCATTTCTTTTCAACAACAATTGAACAAATATTTATTGAGTGCCTACTGTATTCAGAGTTCTATGCTAGCCATGGAAAGGGTAATTTATATGAGTAACGACAACAAAAATTTATTGATCACTGGGGTGTGAAAAAAGAGTTTCAATAAGAATTGTTTTTGTTGTTGTTCTTTTCTCTTCATTCTCAAAGGGGACCATGACATCAGGGAGGTGATACCATGACATGCGAGTGAATTGGATTTAAGTGAGCAGGGGCTGTGCGAAGTCACCAGCCTCACTTTCTCCTCAGGAGCCATCTGGGTCTAGTGGCCAGATATAGATCAGGATGATTGGAGATAGCCCTGGATGCAGTGGGAGACCTTGGCCTTTTTAAGCTAAGGTCTTTAAAATGTCTCAGTTTGACTGAAGCAATGCCCATTCGTTTGGGTAAAAAATAAAGCAAAGAATGGCCTCTTTTACCTAGTCCAAAAAAAAAAAATCAGTCTAGGAGGGGAAGATCCTCAGGGTTTCTGGCCAAAACTGGAACAATTGCTATTTACATTGTCCCTTCCTAAAGGAGCTTCCATTGTAGTGGGGGAGGAAGTACCAAGACTTTGAGCTATTCTATCAATATATCATGTCAATAAATCTAAGATTTGAGTGAAGAGACTTTTAATGTTCACTGCATAGATAGTTCACTTAAAATTAAAATTCTCATAGAACCATATATTAAACTTAAATAGATAACAACATATAAAACAAATCCAATTAGCAGAAAATGTTAGTTCTTAACCTTTTGTTCTTATGCATAAAACTTTCAGGAATTAGGGAGTTTGGGCTAGATTTACTTTTAAGTTCACAATCTATCGATGTGAATTTAAATTTGGAAAAGGGACACCACAGGACATCTCACTCAAATCTCACAGTATCAAAAAGCATTATTGTGCCTCTTCTCTTAAGAATCTACTTAATTCCCAAACAATCTTGTTTACTTATTGATTATGTTTTAAAAAGCCTTTGATAATCTCACCAGCTTTATAAGAATGATTCCTCTATTGTCAATAATGACCAGAAATCTAAACCAATGCAATAATTATATAATAGGGATATACATGCAATTAGTCATGTAAATTAGGTACTTCAAGATTTTGGATGGATAGGGGCTAAGGAGACTTTGCCTAGATATGGTGAAAATATTGATTTTAAATAGATATCATCAAACTTCATTTTTAAAGCTTCAACTCATATCTTCTGCATCCTACATTTTATTTAATATTTCTGACCTAACATGAATCTTAGTCTTTCCTGTGTCATTTATTTCTTTTTTCCTTTTATGTCACTTCTTTGTGAATTCTTTGTGGCCTTAGGGTTGGCTTTGGTTCCATATGCTTTTGTTTGTTTGTTTGTTTCATTTTGTTTGGTGTTTCCTCTGGGATACTGATGTTTTAACCACACAATTTTGATTCGTGGCTTCTTTTCTCCCATTACTATGCTGCAGGTAATATAGAATACAGCTGCCCGGCCACAAATGAATGTGAAATCACAAAGCGCAGACGCAAATCCTGCCAGGCTTGCCGTTTCATGAAGTGTCTAAAAGTTGGCATGCTGAAGGAAGGTAAGGCTCTTCTCATTCCACAGCTCTACATTTTTACTCAAAAGAGTAAGTGTGGCGTGCTTAACAACATCACAGTTTTCATGAAAACCCGAACAAACCATGCGGTGGTAAGTATAAATGTGATAGTGGGGGAAGAATAAATAAAACCTGCTACTTTACTCTTGAGTATTCTGGCAGCATGCAGCTAAAGTGTTTTACCTCTCAAGGAAGATGCCAGGGTACTTGGGATGGTCCAGAGAAGCCACCAGGTATGCTTTATTGATTCTGATGATCTTCGATTTATAATTTCCAGCAGGCAAAAGGTTAAATTCGGGAAAGGAGCTATTTTTTGTACCAGTGACAATGTCATCAAGCCCTTTCTCCCTTTATTACTTTGTGTTGATTTGCATGAAAATACATATTTTGATCTTGGCTTTCCATTGCTGTTGGCCAACTCCCCCCACCTTTCCTCACTCCCCTTACCCCCCCAACATTCTTTGAATTGATTTCTGATTAAAAGGAGCTTGAGAAAAAGGTAAATGATCTGGAAAAATCCTCATCTTTATTCTTTTCTCATGCTCTCAAATTTCCCCTTATAACTTTTTCAGAAACACAAGGTCTTTGATCTGTGATAAATCAAGGAAAGCATCTCTTTTTAAAAAAAAAAAATGAAGCTGTCTCATCTGAGGTAATAGAGAAATTCTTCCTGGAAATTTGAAGTCCTGATGTAACTTGATTATCATCTCTGTGTGTGGGTGCTATTTTATATGTATTTTATACATTACATTTCGATTGTACTGTTATCATCAACACATTCTAAATAAAAAATAAAATCACCTCAGTGTATTTAGATCCTGGAGAAAAGTTTTAAATAAATATATTTACCAGTTTCAGGAAGAGCAAGGATGAAACCTTAGTAATAGAAATAGATAGGAAAATTAGGCACATTTCCTACTTAGATAAATAGTTACTACTCTGTCTCTTATTCCTTCTAGAAATAAACTTTCTTCCCCAGATCTGTCCTGGAGTTTCGCTAACTTTGGTACCCCTAGAGTGTCCTCATTTACTAACTAAAATCTTAGCTTCTCTCCTAAATCCAAACTGAAGAACAAAACAGTTCATTTTATCTTTGAAGGAAAATGTAGAACTTTGATTATGTGACCGTTTGGGGAGAGGTATACCTGGCCTGATCTGAGATTTCCTTAAGTTAAAGGACACTCAATGAGGAAACTCTTTTTTCTGATGCAGGACAGCAATTGACTTGCTCGATTGTACAGGCAGAAAGTTGCCATGGCTACTGAGTGGTTAAGTGGCTTGTCCATGACCATAAAACTAATACATGCTAGAGGTTTGGGTGAATCTTCCGTTATGACTAGCAGCCTGTGTGATCTTACAAAACTAAAAATCTAATAGTTTTTGGTTTTAATTCTAACACTTATATGAGTCAATGTCATGTAGCCAATAGAGAATAGGCCTCGTCTTCTGGCCAACCTGGGTTCTAGTCCAGGTACTTCAGCATGCTTACTGTGCAATGCTAGACAAATCATTTAGCTCCCCAATGTAACAGACAACAAACCATCTAAGTCTATTAATCGCAGGTTAGCTGCTGTTCTGTGTCATAAAAGGGATTTTCTGATACCAGCTGTGTAAAAAAATTTATTAGGATAAGTAACCTTCATATAAGAAACCCCGGTTCAAGTTCTGCCTGGTTGTTCAAATAAACAACCTTTATTTTTATTTTTCACTCCCCTTCACTATGTCAAATTAAGCTTATGGAACTATTGTGTAGGAACAAAATGTACCTTTTCATTTTCACTTTCTTTTCAATAATAACTATGAATCTGCTTGCCATTTTCTGTTTTCTGCCTTGCCCAAATACAAACCAATCACCAAACAAGCAAAAAATCCTATTCAGCTTTACCCTCAACCCACCTGCACAACATAAACTTAATACCCATAACCACAAGAGTTCTTTCTACTAATCGGAAAAGGCAGTCAGTTTATCAGTATCTGAATTGGGAAAAAAAAGGAATTAAACTCTTTTTGAGAGGCTTGTTAGCTAAGCTTCATATTTTAGGATGCTGACTTTTGTCAAATTGAAGCTGGTCCTACTAAAAAGTCATCTTAGATGCTAGAATTTTATGGAAGCCTAGCTCTTTAGTATCAGACTTAATCCACCCAGGCTCCCCTTAAGATGTGACATTCTCTCTTTGAGTCATGAGAATGCCAACGTAGCACCATTTCTTGCAAGTAAGCTTTTTGTTCGTTTGTTTGGAAGCTTTTGCATTTCCAGTTTTTGAAAATGGAACCTCCTAAGTCATCAAACCACGTCTTGCACAAAATGTGCTTCATTTTACTTTTTTCTTAGTATGGTTTTTCGTTATGAAGAAACCAGGGACAAAACTTGTTTCCAATTTAGGAGATTAGATGTTGGATTTTTAGAGGAGTTTTAATGATCATTTTTCAGATTTTTTTTTAATTGGAAAGGAGGATATTATCACTAATGAATAAATTCTAACCAACTAATGAAAGCTTATTTTCTTAAATATGCCTGTGTACTTAAATAAGCAATATTTAAATTTATGAAACTGGAAGGTTGATATTAATTTGTTGTATTTTCAGTAGTAAGGAGCAGTTCTACTTCCAATTATATTCAGGGGTGTGTGTGTGTGTGTAAAATACCAACTTATTTAATTATACATTTGCTTCCTCTGAGTATCTTTTTTTTTCCTTTTCTGATATTGAAGAAATAATAAATAATAGAAAATTATTTCCCCCCCTTAAAACAATCTTTCCCTCTTTGGTATATTGTAGCATTGTTTCTAAACTTTTGAAAGTTTGATAAGAGTGATTGAAGTTATGAATGGTTTTGCTTAAAGTGTTTGCTTAAAGCAAATAGAAGTGTTTAATTCTTACCTCTTTAATTTCTTTTATCAAACCTTGAGTAGGTCTGTTTTTTAAAAAGGGAATTAATTGACACTTCTGTTATCCTTTAAATCTTGCTTTTATTTAAATGGTAAAATAGCCATCATAGGGTAGGGTTGATTATATGGAAAATACTTTGTGTTCCTTTGCTTTCGTGCAAAAAAAAAAAGTCAGAGAAATATTCTATTACATACTGCATTGCATTTGGTCATCTCCTTGGCACTAAACTTGCCTTTGGTATCTGGAGAGAGTGATACTGTCTTAAATATAACTTTATGGATGGAGAGGGATTTTGGTCCCATGCAATTTGTTGGAGATCATGATGCAGTAAATCTATTCAAATGTAAACCCGTTCAATTCAATTACCAGAATATAATAAAATTTGCTGCTCCAACCCCTGTTTGACCACAGTGGTCCATATAGGCTAATGGCACAGTAGGCCTAGAAATTGACAGACAGAATCTATTTTACCAATAAACAAAATCACTTCTAGACCCTGAAATATAATCATTTTTCACTAGTATTCATGGTTACATTTTCTTTCATAACTTTTATTTAACTCTGCTTGTAGTTTTTAGGTGAAATAATGCCAAAAGTTAAAAAAAGTATTTATTTTAGAAGTTTCCTTTTTTATTTTGAATTTAACAAATATCAAGGGACAGTTCAACAACAACAACAAAAGAACACAAAAGAGAATTCCATATGAAAACTTGAACTTAATGCTATGTAAGTTTTTTTAGTGTATTAAGTTTAACCCGGTAGTTAATAAAAATGCCCTCTTTTGGTCCCTTTTGAACTTTTTGCTTATTTTTGTGTATTTTTGAAATAGTTCATTGATCTCTGATTTTTTCTTTTCTTCCTATTTGCATCAATTTCTTTCCTTACCAGATTGACTCTCCTACTCTGCCCCTCCCCATAGAATACTTTTTGTATACTGTCTGAGAAGTAATGAGCTAGAGGGTTTGAAAAAGATCTGTACGTATAGGTGATATGATGATTTGGCTTCCTTCACTATACTTACTGGTTGCATGTCATAAAACTGTAATTTAATCTGTTCTTATAAAAGAAAAAGTAACATTTTCTGTCTCATTTCAAAATAGCAAAATAGCTTTGCTTAATTTTTCTCTCTGGATTTTATAGAGCATGTTTGGACATCATGTATGTATGCATGTATTGGGAGCAAAAGACTTGTGTGATTGAGTATACAGTTGTGATTTTATGAATGTTTTTCATTACTAAAACATATTATTCTTCTTACTAGTCCTCAAATTATTTCAGGACATTTTTTATTACAGCTTTGTAGTTTTAAAATTAAAGCAAAATTTTAACAGATAGCACTAAAGATAGAATAGAAGAATCTGGGCATAAAAGATACCTAAATATTGCTCTTCAGGAGGAAGATCATTTGAGTAAATGAAAATCTTGAATGTAAGAGATTTTTGCCTTTCTTTCTGTCTTAGTGTGTGTGTTAATATTATATTGGTGATCTTTACAAATGATGTTACCATTCTATATGTCATTGAAGGCCCATCAATTATAAGATATCTGATGTCACTATTCCTATTTCATGTTTTTGAGGTATTGTTCATTTGAAGGAAAACCCAAATTTTAATCAAAGTTAACCAATGTATCTGATCTGGATTTATTTTCTCTCCCCTTTTTTTTTTTTTAAATATATTTAAAGGGTACAATCAACATTTTGTTTTGGTGTCAAGAGCAATGAGGGAAGCTTCATTAAAGCAATAATTAATACTTTATTGTCTCATAAAAAGGATTTTGAAAGTTCCTTGATTAAATTGTTATTTTATCATTAGTTGGTCTGAACTTTGGCAACTGAGCCTTTTCTTTGACTCCTGCAGGTGGAGCAACAGAATCACCTGCCATGTACCAGATTTGTATTTTTAACTTAGGCTTCTCTTCCCAAGAGAAAGTGAGGGTAGAGCAAGTGTATTATGAATTTGCAAGCCCGAAATGCTAATCCTGTTCCACACATTCACAGACACCCCAACCAAACCCAAAATAGATTGATTTGCCAGACTGAGCTAAATCCATCAGAAAATTGTTTCAGCCTATGGCAGTGTAATATAGAAGTCTTG